CCCTCCTGGAACAGAGACCATGATGACACGGCATCAACGCGCTCCGGGGGAACCCCTGGACCCTCCAGCGGAGGACACACATCACACAGCGGGGACAACAGCAGTGAGCAAGGTAGGAACACAGCCCTCACACTTTCCTAGCTGGCTAGTGGTCACCAGCGTGCTCAGGGACTGGTTACTTTCTGGTGTGAAAATATGCTCGGGTACTAGAGGGTTTATGCTGAGAAAGGTCTATCTTCCTTTTTTTTTTTGATATTTTTTTTCCTCCATCTCCTCCTAGTAAAGGGATTGGCATCTTTATTTCTTTAACCCTGCCAGCAGGCACATGTTAGAGCAACATATGTACCAAATTTGCAGTGTGCTTAATAAAAATAAGAAATGAGAAGTTTGGGTTTTTTTTCTTCATTCAAATGGGTTAAAAGATGAAATCTTCAAAACCAAATGTAATTAAGGTTGCAGAAATGCATGCTAATATTTCAGAGATGCCATCAAAACTTGATTGCATGTAAATAAGAGATGTTAGCTGGACTGTTTTACAAAATCCTGAGCCGTGCTTTTACTTGCTTTTTGAATACTCAGTTCCAATTTACTTGAATGCAAGAACTTTCTGTTTGAGTGCCAGGCCAGAGTAGATGATTTAGCAGGGCGAGTATGAGATGAGCTTGGTGCAATGGAAGTGGGACATTCTACAAATAATCAGTGCTGTCTCAGAGACTCTGAAAACTAAAAAGTTGAATCTCTGTATTTTTTTTCTGAGAAGCTGAAAGCATATTTTTTCTGAAGAGACCAACTGCAGTGGATTTAGTGTTAATTTAATGCAATTAAAATTTAAAAAGGATCCTTAATCTGAATATAAAAGAGAGTGCTTTATTGAAGTTGACTCTGAACTCACAATAGGTATATACTTTTAAATCTGGTTTTATGATCATGTTTCATTCAAGTGCTGTTAGACAACAAAGGAATTGTGTTTCTAAAAAAAGGTTGAACAGTACTGATTAGCATTGCAAAGTCTGCGTTTAACAAGATTAGTTTTTAAACTAAACCAGTATATTTTAATTTTTTATATGCATGGATTTAACGTACATGGTGAATAACATCTCCTTATAGAATTTTAAGTATTTGAGACTCGTTATTGTTTAAAGAAAAGTTGCTGACTTCATCGCAAGTGTAGCCTAGTAAAAATGGGGCCTGGAATAGTAAACTGTTGCAGAGTTGAGGCAGACACTGGTAACCTTCTGACCTCTGACTTTTACTGGAAAATGATATGCAACATAAATTCAGGGGGCCTTTTTTCTTTCAAGTATGTATACATATATATTCTAGTGGTGCTGTTCACAATGCTATAGTTGAAGTGGTGTCAATTTGTTCATTAGAGCCCCTTGCTTTTGGAGCAAACTTTAAATCCATGGGGTTTTTTTAAGGCTGAAAAAGCTGCTTCAAAAATAAGCTTTGAACTAAAATGTGGTGTTTTGAGAGGGTTTTTGTATTCATTTAGAGCTGTTTTTTTATTAGACGGATGTGCGTGTGTTTATGTGGATATGTGCGTGGACAAAACATCTGTGGGGAGGCTTGCCAGAATGCTCCTAGACCACGCTGGAAATTGAGCTTAGTTCCTGGTGTACTTTTAAACATTTTCAGACTTTATTTTCTCCTAAATGTGGCATTTTTAGTAGTCTGGAGTGCTTGTCATATCTGATGTCTATTGCCACCCTGCAAGAAGTTCCTAGCAAGGTGCATGCTGCAGCCTCAGTCAGGAAGGGTTTTTTAAAGTAACTTTCAAGCCTGAGTCCTATGAAGTATCCACAGAAGGAACTTGTCAGTGATGCTTTAGTCAGTTCTGAAACTGTTACCCAAACCCCAGTGGTTTATTTGGGCTGGGATTGCTGCCAGCGCTTCATGGAGAACTGTTTTGTGAAGAAGGCTCAGTGCATTAAAACTTTGGAGAAGAGTAACAAAAGTGGGAATTTGATAACTGGAGCTCTCATGTCAAGTTTGGGAAAGGAATTTTGGAAAAGAGATCCTGTCCTGGGAGTCTCTCTTACCAAGACTTGCCTTCGGGCCACTTGCCACCTTTGGAAATGGCATTGTTTTTGAGGAACAGGAATATGGTAATGGTAGCATTGTCTTGCTGAGCCTTGCTTTATGTCTTGTTTACATGAAATGCTCTGAAGGTTGATATTGTGGGAGAAACTCATTTGTTTAAGCAAATCCATGCCTGCATGTATACCTTCTGTAAAAAAACCCTCCAAAATGTGATTTTAGCATTTCCCTATGGGGAAGAAGTCAAAAAAATACAACCCTGAGGGACTGAAATGGAAGAGAACTAAAAGATAGCCTGCCTCTCCCCAACTGCATTTAATTTCCAGATGCTGTGATTTGGTGGCTTTTTCTTCTGTGGCCTGATGTTAGGAGTGCAACACTCTGGTTAAACCCCTGTGTTCACCCCTGCTGGGTGCTTTTCTTGGCAGCAGAAGGAGCCAGCATGGCACTGCCATAGCAGCCAGGTGCTGTGGAGGGGTGGCAGCAAAAGGCTGGGGACACACATGCTTGTGCTTGCAAGCATAGGAGTTAACTCGAAATGCATGCGTTGCATGACATATATTCAGTATATTATGGGCTTCCCTATTTTTAGGAGTTTGTAAAAGTTCCTTTTGGTTCCTTCCATCTGTCAAGATCACGTTTGCCATTTAAAAAAAAAAAAAAAAAGGGGGAAAAAAAAAAAAGCAAATCTGATCACCAGAAATAAAACCCTCTAAAACTGTCTGGTTTCAGGTTGTTCTCACAACCTACTTCCCTCGTTGGGGTAGGTAAAAGCACCTTCTGGGCCAGGTTTGCAACCTGGCTGAAAGTGTCACAAAGGTGTAAATGTAAGCTTTGCATTTTCAGAGAGGCACACAGACTGGAAAACTTAAGCCTTTAGCAAGACTTAGCCCTTAACCCAGAGTATGTTAAGGTCTATTTTTGGACTTTTTTGAGATTTTTCTTCATTACCTTATTCACTACAAATCTTGCGAAGTGTATTTTTAACCTATTTATGTCCCAGTGTAAAACGCCTATCAAATGATTGCCTTTGAAATCAGGAGAGATGGTCTTTCATGTAAACATTTTAAAGTCTTCTTCAATGTGTAAATTTATTTACTTAGTAAATAGTAATAACTCCCAGCTGCTTCGATCCATTGCAGAAATCCATATTTAACTGCTAGGGACCTGTTCTGAGGTCTCGTGCCACTGAACAGCAGGATATGTTATTGCATAGTACGTTGACACACAACTTCTTCTAAAGGCCTGGTATTGTGTCATCACAGGGGATAGTTATAGTGCAGGAATGCAGAATAATATTATGAAAAAGTTTTCCCATTGCTCTGAACTTAATGGGAAAGGCCTTTGGAGGTCTGTCACCAAATGCTGGTAAGAGATCTGAATTTACATAGTGGAGAAATAATTCACTAAATTCTATTTAAAAGAAGAGAAGCAAATTCTTATGTACAGGCAGGTGATGCTGAGCTCATGGCAGCACTATTTTACCTTACTTTGTCTCGTAACTTCAAAAGATTCCTGTTTGGGATATTGAGAGATCTGCTTTGTTTGTTTTTCAAGTAGTGAGACCAGGAAGATGCTGAACAAAGCCTTGGTACAGTCACTTTTAATCCAGAGTGGAGTTCTTTATTTCCCATGTTTAGCTCTCCTACACAGCTTAAAAGAAAAAGAAAAATAATCCATCAGTGTCACCTTATTTGTGTGTATTGTTTTTCTCTTTTATTTTCCCCCAAGCCTCAGCCTGCATTCAAAGCATTTTTTTAACCTCCAAATAATTGTTGCTCTTTCAAGCCAGGAGTAGAAAGCAGCAATATTTCTTTATAAAAATGTATCAATGGCTGCGATGGTTTTTTTTTTTTTCAAGGTTTTGTAGGAGTTTGAGCAACCTATAGGCAAAAAGGCAATCGGGTTTATTATTGCTGGGAATCTCCAGGCGGTTGTTTGGAGGCTGCAAAGGCAGGCAGCAGAGCCGGGAAGAGGGGGAGAGAAGGGCCACATTATGTTCCAGATGACTGAGCAAGGATTTATATACCAGCTCGCCTTTTTTTTTTTTTTCCTTTCTTTTTTTTCCTTTTTTTTTTTTTTTTTTTTTTTTAAACATGGAGGAAGAAAAGTAATAAGAACGGGGAGGCATTTGAAGCGGTCAGATGGCCGATGACTAATGGGATAGGTGGGCAGGAGCCCTCGGATTGGGTGTCTTAATGAGCACATTTCGCACCGAGTTTGGGCTGCAGTTCCCCTTCACCTTTGCCCTTTATTGACCGAACTGACACTTCATTTTTCACATACTTCCAATTATGGCTGAGCTTAAGTATCGCCCTGCCTCCTTTCTTTCTTGCCTATGGATGGCTTGAGAGTGGCTAAGGCCACAGAAGATATTTTAATTTGAAAAACTACCATAGCAAGGCAGGTTTAGGGTGTAACCTGAAACTGCTGTCACTTGGCAGTTTCTCGGATGAAAACAAAAGTTTTAATGTTTCTTGTTTAGCGCTTCACCACCAGTCCCCCACCATTTTCTGTGGTGGTGTGGGGAATTGCTTTGGGGGCGATTGGGTTGGTGAGGGGTGTTTTCCTTGGGGTAAATCTTTACTGGCTGTACAGGTGTCATGGGCAGGAGTCACTGAAGTAAAGAGGTAAACCCAAATTAAAAGCAGTGCCATGCTTGAATGATGGCTCCTCTTTCTTTCTCAGTGCAGCATCTTCTCAAATGTATTCTTGTGGTGTAATGCCCTGCAATGTCCTTTGCTGGACTTTTCCCTTATGGAAAAGGAAAGCATAATTGTGCTTGCACTCCTCGAGCCTTAGGCCAGTGTGGATTTGTTGTTTTGGTAATATTTAATGCATGAATGCAGATTTGAGCATGGCCTGGCTGTGAAGCTTTGAGAAGTGGCTGAAAATTATGCTGGGAGAGGCTGGTAGGATGAAGAGGTGGAAAAATCTGCAGTCGCCCCTTTGCTGTGCGAGGAGAGCCATGATATATCTCCCACTGCTCAAGTCTGTGTGCATTTCCACGTTGGCTTTTACATGCAGAATCCTTCCAGGGCGGAAATGTCTGTTTGCTTTCGCAGGGCTTAG